TTAAAATAAATAATTTTAACAACACAAAAAATAAACCCAACATGAACGAATTTTCAATTAGTAAATATTTCATTTTTGCTAAAAAATATACAATACATATTTATAAATAATATATATATTATATCTACGGAAAGCTTATATTAAAAACAAATACAACAACTTATGGCTAGACTCTTTATAGTAAACTTTAAGATAACAAATTTTTAAAAAAATATAAATAAAATATTTGTAAAAGAAAAGTAGTAAAATTGATTTGGGTATAATAATGAAAAATAAGGAAATAAAATTTATATAAAAAATATTAAGTGAAAAAAAAATTAATAGGAATTAGCTATAAGTAAGTTTTAAAAAACTAAAAATATTTTGTGTTGAAGTTCTAAAAAAAAACAAAATATTTAAGATAGTAAATGGAAAAGACAACAAAAGATTGTGAAACTTAAAGGATATTATTAAAAATATTTAAAACTAATTCAAAACATATCAAGCTCGTGCCCGATGAGAAAAGAAAAATAAAAAAACAATTTAATATTTTTCTTTTTTTAGCAGAAAACCACATATATTCAAATTATAATAAAACTTTACAGTTTTTATAAGAAACTTTTTTTTGTCAAAAATCATTTATATAAAAAAAAAACAAAATTATACTACAACAACAATTTTTAAAATAAATAAAATTATATATTAAAAAAAAAATTATTTACAAAAAATTAAAATAAAATTATATTAAAAAAATTTTTCATTTAATAAATTTTAACATGATTTATGTTAATAAAATTTCTCTGTAATTTAAAATAAATTTTTTATAAATTTCTTTAAAAATTTTTTTTAATTTTTTAACTTTTTAATTTTTTTTAATTATTTAACTTAAAAAAAATATTTATAAATAAACCAATAAATCATATCAATACTATTTACTTAAACTCATAATTCTATTTAAATAAAATTAAAAAAAAATAACAGTAAAAGAAAAACCAAGCCTTGTTCTTTATATACTATACATAAAAACAAATCATATATATATTAAAAAAAAATAAATAAAAAAAATACAAAAATATATATATTATTATTATAATTATTATACTTATAAACTAAGCTAAATTATACTATATTATTATTAAAAACAAATATATTGATTAAAAAAAATAATAAATAAATAAATATTTAGCAAAAATATTGTAATATTGTGAGTTTAAACGTATTGTTAAAATTAGTAAAAAAAAATAAAAATTATAAAAAAATAAATATTGTTTATTAAAAAAACACAAACAACAGCATCAATAACATTAAAAAAAATAATTCGAACAATTATACAAAAATTTATAAAAAAAAAAAAACAAATAAAAACAATCCGCTAAATTATGTTTATTTTATTTATTTTATTAATTTGTTTATTTTTCTATATTTAAACACAATTTTAAATTAATTTCTCTTAAAAATTAACAAAACAGGCTTATTTCTTAACGAATAATTACCAACAAAAAAAAACCAAAAATATATATTATTAAATAATGTTTTTAACTGATAATAATAAACAAAAAAAAAATAATAATACAAAATTCATAAAATATATGAATATAAATTAATAAATAAAATTTTAAAATTGTTTTGTGTAATTGTAAATAAAAGTGTAGTTTTATTTCTTGACTCGAAGAACCATTTGAAAGTATTTCCGTTCGATTTGCAGCGGAATTTAGGTTAAAATAGCTCAACAGGCATCACTACTACTTATACTACTTATATTAAAACACCCAAAAATATTGGTCCTACACCAGAGATACAAGCCGAGACGGCTCAAATCGGCGGCGTCTGGTCGCCGGTAATATTTTGCAAACCGCGACGCCGCCGACTTCTTTCGGCTCAAATGCTAAGCCGTAGTGTTCTATAAATCGACTTTCGAATAATCGAACAATCGACTTTTTGTCGAAAAAAGTTGAAAAGTCGAAGTCGACTATTTTGTTCCAAAAAAGTCGATAACTATCGTCTGTGAAAAAAGTCGAAAAGTCGATTTTTTAATAAAAATCGAAAATTCGGAAAGTCGAAAAGTCGAAAAAAGTCGAATAAAGTCGAAAAGTCGTAAAAAGTCGAAATGTCGGAAAAAGTCGGAAAAAGCCTGAAAAAGTCGAAAAGTCGGAAAAGTCGAAAACTCGAAAATTCGAAAATTGTAGAAAAAAGTCAAAAATGGTCGGAAATTTTAAAAAGTGGAAAAAAAAGTAAAAAACTTTAAAATAGTCGGAAATACTCGAAAAAAACCAAAAAATAGTCGAAAAAAATTCGAAAGAAGTCGAAAATAGTAAAAAAGTCGAAAAAAATCAAAAAGTCGGAAAAAGTCGAAAAAAGTCGGAAAAAGTCGAAAAAAGTCGAAAAGTCGAAAAAAGTCGAAAAGTCGACTTTTAATTAAATGAAAAAAGTCGAAAAATCGACTTTTCATAAAATGCATAAAGTCGAAAAGTCGACTTTTAACTAAATGAAAAAAGTCGAAAAGTCGACTTTTCGTTTCAACTATAGAACCCTACTAATCCGGCTTAAACGTAGCCGCTGATAAAGATTGGAATCGCACATGTATTTCAGAAAATAATTTCACCAATTTGAACCGAGTTGGCACTATTTTAAATTCTTATGGCAAATTTAAAAAAGTTGCCATACAATATTGTGCTAATATTAAAATAGTGAAAACTACTATAATAATGGTCATTTTCTGCATAAAAAACGTATATAGAGACGGGTTTCTATATAATAGACTATTACACAGAGATTTTTCAATATAATAAACGATTATAAGGTCAATTTCTGAAGAAAAAGTTAAATTGAGCCGACAATTTAGCCGCCGCCGATATTTTCTACAATAAGCCGCTGCCGCCGACCTAATATGGTTGCGCCGCCGATCATTTTGCATCGACTTGTATCTCTGCCCTACACCCACCTTAAAGTAGTCAGAATCACTTCCTGAATCGATAAAGCTATGTCCATCCGTCTGTCTGTGTGTCCATGTAAACTTTTTTTGCACTCTACAGGTCGCAATATTTGAGATAATTTGATGAAATTTAGTCCAAGGACGAACGCTATTGAAAATGGCTGAAATCGGCCTATTATTTCACCTAGCCCCCATACAACCGAACCCCACTAACAGGCTTTTGACCTCATAATAGGGTTCTATAGTTGAAACGAAAAGTCGAATTTTCGACTTTTTGCATTTAGTTAAAAGTCGACTTTTCGACCTTCCGACTTTTTGCATTTTATGAAAGTCGATTTTTCGACTTTTTTCATTTATTTAAAAGTCGACTTTTAGACTTTTCGACTTTTAGTATTTTATAAATGGTCGACTTTTCGACTTTTTCCGACTTTTCGACCTTTTTCGACTTTTTTCGACTTTTTCGATTTTTTACGACATTTTGACTATTTTCAACTTCTTTCGACTTTTTTCGACTTTTTTCGAGTTTTTCCGACTATTATAGAGTTTTTGACATCTTTTCCACTTTTTTAAAATTTTCGACTTTTCGACTTTTTTCGACTTTCTTCGACTTTTTTCGACTTATCGACTTTTTTCGACTTTTATTTACAAAGTCGACTTTTCGACTTTTTTTATAGACGAAAGTCGAGTTATCGACTTTTTTCGACAAAAAGTCGATTGTTCGATTATTCGAAAGTCGATTTATAGAACCCTACCTCATAATTATGTTAAATGATCTACTTTCTCTACAAAAATTGGCAAAACTTAATTTTATATAAGTCGTAATAATTCTAGCGATTTTCGTAAATATCGGGCATTATTTGACCCTAGCCCATATACAAAGTTATCTTCAGAAAATGACTTGAATGTCCACAATTCACTAGTATCACTATGAAATTTGGCACAAATAACTTTTATATAACCATAAAACCCGACAATAAATTTTATAAGGATCGACCCAAGTTTTGAACTACTCCCCATATAACCGGACCTTCCGATTTGGGCCTTTTGGGCTCATAACTACGACAAATATACTACAATATTACCACAAATGGACATAACTAAGTTTGATATAATTATAAATAACACTGCCAATTTTCGTCATGATCGGGCATTATTTGACCCTAGTCCCCATACAAAGTCCCCTTCAGATAATAACTTGAATGTCCACAATTCACCTATAAACACGTATCTAGTATCACAATGAAATTTGGCACAAATAAGTTTTATATAGACATAATTCACGACAATAAATTTTATAAGGATCGGCTCAATTTCTGCCCTAGCCCCCTTACAACCGGACCTCCTGATGTGGGCCTTTTATCTTTTAACTACGTCAAATATACTAATATTTATCCAAAAATCAGCATAATTAAGTTTGATATAATTATAAATAACACTATCGATTATCGTATTGACCGGGCCCCATTTAACCCTAGCCCCTATAAAAAGTCCCCTTCAGAAAATGACTTGAATGTCCACTATTCAAATATAAACACTAGAAAACACTATAAAAGCTAAATCGGATTAAGGGAAGCCGTGCCGGAAATCGATTGAAAAGTGTAAATAATAGGACTTTTTGGTTCTTTAACAAATGTGCCATTGGCAACACTGGATGAGGGTAAACATTTTCTTCATCTCGCGGCATCTATGTATGTTTAGTTAAAAAAATTAAATGTACACTTATTAAAGACACTTTTTATTGATTTAATTTTACACTGACTACCAGATGACGCAGTTTGTGAGACATGTCTCGAGAGTCATATTCAATCATGATGTTTTTTGGTTTGGGTTTTGGGACTTCCAGCCTATGATTGGGGACATGAGTCAAAGTTTTCTTCTAGCATTCTTGCTTGTTAATTTCTTAATACTTTAAAAAACACCGTATATGTATATTATCAAACAATGTGGTAGCTCTCATTTAAAGTGCCATAAATATTTATCCAACTCATAAACCATTGCCTAACAGGGTAGTTCAAATAATTAGAAGTAAGCAAATATGGCATCACAGATAATTTGACACTTCAAACAACAGCTGGCAAAATTCTTTGCTGCTTTTTGTATTTGTTGTTTAGAAAGAAAATTATTGAATAAAATATTATTGTTTTTCAATATTAGAAGAGAATAATCTATTAAAGATAAAAGTTTAAACAAATATTTCAAAATATTAAGTAAAAAGCAAACATTAAATGAAAATATAAACAAAATTTGAATTGTTAAAGGTAATAAAACTTGAAGTCTCCAGCAAATAGCTTAATTTTGCAATTTTATTTAATTATGATTATTAAATAAAACAAAAGAGAAAAGTTTAAATAAGCGTAAAGTGACTCAGTTACAGGTCTATGAGAAAATTATTAAAAAAAAAAACTATTAAATTAAAAGTGAACGCCAATACGAAGTCCAAACACTAGGTGAGTGTGCAGACATAAAACTAAAAGACAAACAGACGGGAAGAGAAATAATCTGAAGAAGAAAATTAAGCAACATAAAAGGTATAAATAATACATTTTAACTAAATAAGGCAAATATATTATTAAAATATAAATTTCTTTACTTTAAAGATCTCTGTTCTAAAAACATAAAAATGAGCGATCAAAGTATGCTGGACAATACCACAGTGCCCCCAGTGGTACCCACAAATCCTCATGAAATTGCCTTGCAATCATTATGCAAACAATTGCTGAAATCTCTTTTATTTAGGGGCTTCTATGTGGAGAGACGCTATGTGGAAAATGTCAAAGGTTATCGAGATATAGTGAGTTTACAAAAGTCTGAGAAAAGTTTGGATAAAATGCTAAAAGACATACGCGATAAATTGCAATTGTTCTATAGTCATCAGAATCCGCAAATGTGGATTGGTATCACCAGTGGCCCCTTGCCTGGCATCAGTACACCACAGCCTGCTGCTTTAGAAACCCATTTATGGGTAGAAATGAAAGATTTAGCTTTTGGCCAGTATTGGTTTAGCATAAAAAGTATACGTTTTCGTGATAATGAAATCATTTTAAAATTGAAAGAAGTACAACCCGTAGAAGAGGAGGAAGTGCCTAAATGGGCTCCCAGTTCGAGCAGCAAAAAGGCAATTTGTGATAATACCCCTACAACTATAGAAAACTCAGCCCCCAACACCACCTTATCCTTGGAAAATCAAATTACTTTCGATGATTTCATGCTATTACTCCAACAATGGTGGGCCACCATCAAACAAACTATTTACGATTTCATGTCGCAAGATATTTCCAAAGAAAACCTTAAGGGTGTCTTAAGATTTTTGGGTCTACTCATTGTTTCCATACTATCAGGTGCTCTAGTGGGTGTCAAATTCTTAGGAATTTTTACTCTACGCTTTATGTTTGAACTCAGCCGTTTAACGCATGTCTTAACGCCGATTATTTTCAAAATAATCGAAGTGTTTAATAAAATGATTGGTGGTTTTTATATACTTTTGGCTATGATTTGGAAAGATACGGTGGTCAAGCGAAATCAACCACAACATAATGCTCTGGAATACAATCGTCCTATGTATAAGAGTATAGAGTATGATGTCAGACAAAGGCGTCAAGCGGCATCAACAAATTTTGATAAATCTTTTCAATAGAATTTTTAAGCAGTTTTAAAAATTGGACTTGGAAAAGTACTATAAAATTGGTCGTGCACAATGTTGGAGTTAAAGAAGAGGTAAGAATTTATTTATAAGTTAAAGAACTAGTACCGAATTTATTTTTTAAGGGGGGTGAAATGTGCTTCACTTGAAATTATTTTTTTGATTTTAGGCAAAGTACATCAAACATCCCTAAGTGAAACGATCGGTGCCCATTTACGTTTAGGTCGTTATTAAAAGAAACTAGGAACGTTTTAAGTTTTTCAAACCAAAAAAGAAATAGTTGAAAATGCGGTAGGTTGCAAATAAACGTCCTTAGATAGATAGATAGATAGATAGATAGATAGATAGATAGATAGATAGATAGATAGATAGATAGATAGATAGACAGATAGATAGATAGATAGATAGATAGATAGATAGATAGATAGATAGATAGATAGATAGATAGATAGATAGATAGATAGATAGATAGATAGATAGATAGATAGATAGATAGATAGATAGATAGATAGATAGATAGATAGATAGATAGATAGATAGATAGATAGATAGATAGATAGATAGATAGATAGATAGATAGATAGATAGATAGATAGATAGATAGATAGATAGATAGATAGATAGATAGATAGATAGATAGATAGATAGATAGATAGATAGATAGATAGATAGATAGATAGGTAGATAGATAGATAGATAGATAGATAGATAGATAGATAGATAGATAGATAGATAGATAGATAGATAGATAGATAGATAGATAGATAGATAGATAGATAGATAGATAGATAGATAGATAGATAGATAGATAGATAGATAGATAGATAGATAGATAGATAGATAGATAGATAGATAGATAGATAGATAGATAGATAGATAGATAGATAGATAGATAGATAGATAGATAGATAGATAGATAGATAGATAGATAGATAGATAGATAGATAGATAGATAGATAGATAGATAGATAGATAGATAGATAGATAGATAGATAGATAGATAGATAGATAGATAGATAGATAGATAGATAGATAGATAGATAGATAGATAGATAGATAGATAGATAGATAGATAGATAGATAGATAGATAGATAGATAGATAGATAGATAGATAGATAGATAGATAGATAGATAGATAGATAGATAGATAGATAGATAGATAGATAGATAGATAGATAGATAGATAGATAGATAGATAGATAGATAGATAGATAGATAGATAGATAGATAGATAGATAGATAGATAGATAGATAGATAGATAGATAGATAGATAGATAGATAGATAGATAGATAGATAGATAGATAGATAGATAGATAGATAGATAGATAGATAGATAGATAGATAGATAGATAGATAGATAGATAGATAGATAGATAGATAGATAGATAGATAGATAGATAGATAGATAGATAGATAGATAGATAGATAGATAGATTAGATAGATAGATAGATAAGATAGATAGATAGATAGATAGATAGATAGATACTAGAGTCACAGGGAAGAGTAGAACCCTCGACCTCCAGTCTAACAGATTAGAACAGTAACCCAACAGAGGTCACACCATGACGATTTTAAGTTTATCGCGCAAATATCGATTTATAGCGGAAAATATTTGTGATCTCTGATTAGCTTCATTTTTCGATTGGATTGATATTTACGAAACTAGGCCTGATCAAATATCAACATCTTTTAGCGCAGATTTTAACATTATCACAAAAAAGTTCTAGTTATAAGAGTTCAAAGATTTTATTTCAAATACTAGCAAAGATTCAAATATACTTTTTTCTCTTACAGATCGCACAACTATTAGTTGTCTTCTAGACGTGTTCGCAACTATATTTATACAATTCTTTAACAATTTATTACCACTACAGATATTCTTTTTAAAATATTTTATTTATTTTTTATTATAAATTATACAAATTTAAAGAGGAAACGAAAATTATTCATAAAATTAATCTTTAGTGGAAACAAATTTTAAAAATATAAATTTTATTTTCTATAAAATATAATTTTTAGTAATTAGTTTCCAATTCAATTTTTTTTTTCATATTATTATTTTATATTCTGATTAAAAGCTAAAAATCAGACAACATATTTATTTTAGGCGTAGTTTAATACTTGCAACGGGAAATGTTATTCCAATTTATGATAAACATTTTCCAACGATTCCTTTATCATACTGATACTAACAAGGCGTCATGTGATGATTACTGATATTCGATTTTTTCCTAAGATTAAAAACTAATTTTAGTTTAAATTTAGTTTAACTAATATTTTTATTGAATTTTCTTAATTGTAAAACTATTTTAATTTATTTTCATTTGATTTCAATTTAGTTTACTTTATGTCCTGTATTTGTCCTGTTAGAGTTAATTAAATAAACAATTATTGTAGAATAGAGCGAAAATAATGTTAAAGATTTTCCAAGTTTTCCGTTATATAATGAAAATCGTATTTAAACACTATCACAAGAAATTTAATATATTTTATAATTTAAACGATTTTCTTCGCATAACTCTTACATAATTTTCCAAATATTATTAATAGTTCAATTTTATATATTTTTTGATATACATTTTATATCTCTATTTTATTTGCACTTGCCTCTTTATAGTTAATTGCTGGAAATCCCATATTTCATGTTTATATAAACCATTATAATTTATAAGATATATTGACGAACAATTAAAATATATATATTTTTTTAAATTTGTCTAAAGTTCAATTTAACAATAACTTTTATATAATCAATAAGATTTTACTTTTATAAAAAGTATAGAAAATATTATAAAAATGATAAAAATTTAATAATTATTAAAAATTTATTAAGGTGCTTTGACAAATTGTTTAATTCGATACAATCATTTAGTAGTTAAGTTTAAAAAAAAAATGTTAATAAAAATTTTAAATGTTGTAATTCATTTATTTTATAAATTAAAAAAAGAAATTTGCATTTTTACTGTTTAATGTCTAAATTGAAAAATTTTTAAGGATTTCAAAAAATAAATTTTTAAAATGTTAAGTATTTGTAAAATAGATAAATTTCAGTTAATTTTGTTATTACTAATACTTTTTCATTTTATCTTTTATGAGTCACTTAAGTTTACTATCTAAATGTGTGGCAACAACAACAAAAATAAGGTATTGTTCAAGGTACAACAAAATATGTGAAACTTCTTCAGCCTAGACGACCAAATGATTTATTATCACGATTTACGAGCGTTAGTACAAGATGCTAAGCTATTGAAGGATATACATAAGGATGACAACAAACAATCCAGTGAGTATCAATACAATTCGTTAATAAATTTATTTTTTGACTCGTAAATAGACTAATCTATAGACAAGCCAAAAGTCTAGTCAATAGCGCAAACAAGTGAATATCCCATATACTAGTAAATATATTAGTTAATAGACTAGTTTATAGGCTAATCAATAGATC